CGGCGCGGGGACCCTGTCCCACAGCTACCAGTATGAGGTGTGTCTGAGGGGAGGGTCTGGGACCGGTGAGTTCAAGTTCTTGAAGCCAATATTTCCCAACCTCTTGATTGAGGACACTGAGAGAGAAATTCAAGACAACCCCAACTGCAGGAATAGCTTTGTATTCAGTTAATGAGTGTATTTAGTCAAGTCAGCCTCTCCTTAATTTTGGCAAACCTAACTTCCATTGCAATGCCTTTCTTCTAAGAAATTTTGTTGTGTAAATTTGTATAATATCTCTAGTCCAAACTAATCATGTCCCTGATTGTACTAAATCTTCCTCCTTTTATTAATATTTATTGGACTTAGCATTTTCAGTTACACTGGTTATGGAGTATGTATATTCTCCATATTTGACTTTCTCTCGGTGATTAATGTTTCCATGACTATGAATTAACTCAAATAGTTTAAGAAGAATTTTTTATTTAAACCAACTCCTTACTGTCTTAAAGCTTTTATGTAATTGTGCATTTCTATATATTTGTGGTATTTGTCTTTACCATTAGCTTTGTCTTTAGAGTGTTTGAAATTCTTTTAGCTACCTAGGCCTTTTTGACTATGGCTATGCCCCCTGAAAAGCCATGAGCATATAACTTAACTTGTTTCTCTGAAATTGTACATAAACATGCACTTTGAGTAAGATATTAAAACACCAAAATTGTGACTTCCTATTGGGAACACCATACGTGCTAGGATTTTAAAAATTTATTTGATTGCTACTTACCTAGCACACTGTATGTGTTCTGTAAATACTAATACTAAATTTAAAATTATCATTTATAAGTAATAATTTTCTGAAAATCTTCTATAATTTGGCACCATGCTCACTAACAGAAACTAAGTCACTGCTTGGTAAAATCCTTTAAAACAATTTCAGAACCTTAAATAAACCTTAAATCGTTTCATAGGATTCAAGATAAGAAGGACATCATATCTTCCTTGTCCTTGCTTTTGCTCTATAAATAGAAGTTCAAGTGAAATTTAGTGTATACGTTTGTTTTGGTTTTCTTGCAGCTTCTCCCCACCTTTCAAAAGAGTCAGAAAATTTTTCTGAGTTTTGATTATTCTCTTCAGGCCTTTTCAAGGTTATTGGGTGATAGGAGATTTTCACTTTAAATTACTTTGCAGACATGAACATCCTTCATCAACAAAATAATGTTTTATTTTTGATGTCCCAGTTATCTTCTGTTCAGTATAGCTTTGAGGTATTTTATGCAAATTTACTTTATCAATTATGTTAGACTTTCATTTATAAGAAATAAGCATTATTTTGTCATTTTGGACAATAGAATAGAAATAGGAAGTAAATAAGGAATGAACTTATCTGAATTACAGCTGTTTTATGTTGTATTCATTTAAGCAAGTAAGCTGATCATTTGGTTTCCAGCTAAACTTATATGGATATAAGTATAAAACCTCTTAGTTGAACTTTTGGCATAATGTGAGCAATTACAATTTTATAATCTAAAATTTTATTTTTAAAAAATATTTTATTTATTTATTTGACAGACAGAGATCATAAGTAGGCCCTGAAGCAGGCAGAGAGAGGGAGGAAGCAGGCTCCCTGCGGAGCAGAGAGCCCAAATCCTAAGCAGGCTGGATCTCAGGACCCTGAGATCATGACCTGAGCTGAAGGCAGAGGCTTTAACCCACTGAGCCACCCAGGCACCCCTAAAATTTTATTTTTAAATCTCAAGGGCCATCCTACTGGATTTAATTACTTGTACTTATCCCTGAATTACTTTTTTCCCCTAAGGATATAATAATACATTAAAAAGGAAAATTACTGGCTAAGTTAGACTTGAAACATAACTTTTAGCCTTCGTCCAGTCTAAAAATTGAAATGAGAAAGTGATAAAAATGAGAACAAAATTAAACACAAGTATATATAGATATAAATATCGTAGTCAACCTTAATGACTACTTCACTTACTAGCTGTTTAAATGAATAGCTTTTATTTATGATGAGAAATCTGATTGAAATTTTCACCAATATACTTCAACATTTCCAAGTTCCCCTTTTTTGTTGTTTATGTCAGAAGAGTCCAATTTGTATAACTGCCCAAATGGACTGGCCAAATAAACACCCAAACCCACCTTTATGAATTTCTGTGTAAATTTGTGAATTACTTTGTACATTATTTTATTGATTACTCTGTGTATTCATAAAGCACAGATCATCCCTTACCATTATGCATGGATCATTCTGTACACCAGACTTTGGTGTAGAATGGATCAATATTTTGAAATTCAATAATTAGAATTTAGTAGTAAATGTGATCCAAATAACTTCCACAAAATGCATACCTTAAGAAAAATAAGCCAGTTCTATTGTTGCCAAACAAAAATAAAGAATGGAAGCCAACTATCTTGATAATAATGCTCATTTCAATCCTATGTTTTCTCACATGCTTCTGTTATATGTACAACTTATTTCCCAATTTTAGTGAAAATAATAGAAATATATCACTGTAAATTTAAGAAGTGCAGCATGATGCTTTGAATTACATATATTGTGAAATGACTACCATACACAATAGGTTAACATCCATCTTATCTATACATCTTTTACAATTCCTTTATTATTATAGGCACAACACTTAGTGAGTTGAACATATGCTGTTTGGGGGGCAGAACTTTTACTGAAGGCACCATAAGGCCCACATCACTTCAAAACCCCCCTCTTCCTTTACTACTGAAAGTTACAAAATACAGATTTTAAGCAGGCTGAGGTTAAAAGTTATGTAGTTATTTGGTGGAAGTCTACTTCAGATAGAATGGATGGATTACCTAACAGAAGAAACAACCATAAAAACTTGTTAAAATTCAGAAATGTCCTGTTTGAAGCAACAGACAGCTGATGATATAACAAGACTCAAAGGGCTAAGATTTCTTGGAGTTCTGAACTGACTTCTTCAATCAGTTTGCCTTGCAGAACTTTGCTAAGTCTTAGAACAGACAAAAGGCTCCTGCCATGGTCTAGAGCAATTTCCGTGGCCTTTGGCAGACTGGAAGATTCAAGCTCATGGCCAATTTTTCCCCTCAAGATACTTGTCAAACTCAGGGACATTCCAGGGAAGAAGCAACGTTTGAAGAGATAATGACCAAGAATTTTCCAAAATTTGTGAAAATCCTTCACCACTCAAGATGCTTGGGGAAACCCAATCAAGAAAAATAAAATACAAAGTACACCTAGAAATATCATAGGAAAGATGCTGAAGACTAGAGTCAAAGAGAAAACCTTAAAAGCAACTATCAAAATGGCACATTACTCTTAAAGGAACAATAAAGGAACAATAAAACGAAGAGCTTTTTCACATAAATCATGAAACCAAAAGACAAAGAAATGATGGGGAAAAAACAGACTAGCATTCTTATATTACCAGAAAATATATATTTCAAAAATACAATTTTCAAACAAATAAAAACCCAAAGCATTAATCACAGTCACATCTGCACTAAAAGAAATACTTTTAGTGGAATTCATTGGGCAGAGGGGAAACAATACTAAAGGAATCAGACTTGCAGGAAGAAATGAGCAACAGGAAGGGTAAATATAAATTAATATTGACTATAGAAGGCAAAAAGTTTCTTGAAGGATTTAAAATGTGTATAAAATTTTTAAAAGATTTTTAAATTTTCTCTATTTTACAGAGAGAGATAGCAAGAGCAGGAACACAAGCAGGGGGAGTGGGAGAGGGAGAAGCAGGCTTCCCTCCAAGAAAGGAGCCCGATGTGGGGCTCGATGTGGAGCTTGATGTGAGGCTCAATCCCAGGATCCTGGGATCATGATCTGAGCCGAAGACAGATGCTTAACAAATGTGCCACAGAGGTGCCCCTAAAATGTATATAAAATTTAAGTTCATGACAATAATAATGTAAAAGGAAGATGGTATAAATACAGTTAATGAATTCTAAGCATTATCATGGAAGTAGTAAAATTAAAAATTTTGTGGTAGATTCTTTTAGCTCAAAGATGCTTTAATCTGTAGGATAATTACTACAGGATTAATTAAAACATTAATTGAAGGGAAATTAAAAATAACAAATATCTGAGTAATCCAAAAAAGAATGAAACTTTATGGACAAGTAAAAAAAGATGGTAAATATAAATGGATCATTATCAAATATTACATTAATTGTAGTTAGATTAAATGATCCCATTAAACAACCAAAATTTTCAGACTATGTGTAAGAAAAGTTCAACTATTACATACGCTATCATATAAATGTGTTTGTGTGAGCTACAACAAAAGGTTGAAAGTTAAAAAAAAATAAGAAACGATATAATACAGACACTAGCTGAAATAAACCTAGTGTAGCTGTACACATATAAGAATGAAATGACTCACAGTACGCTTTTTTTAAAAAAAGATTTTACTTATTTATTTGAGAGACAGAGACATGGCGAGAGAGGGAACACAAGGGAGGGAGAATCAGGCTCCCCTAGGAGCAGGGAGCCAGATGTGGGCTTGATCCCAGGACTCTGGGATCATCACCTGAGCCTCTGGGATCATGAACTGAGCTGAAGGCAGACGCTTAACGACTGAGCCA